TCTGTGTCTGTGTCTGTGTCTGTGTCTGTGTCTGTGTGTCTGTGTGTCTGTGTGTCTGTGTCTGTGTCTGTGTGTGTGTGTGTGTATGTATGGATGGATGGATGGATGGATATGTGGATGGATGTATGTATGTATGTATGGACGCACGCACGCATGTCAAAATAAACCAAACCCGAGAATATCAAATTTTAAGGCATATCAAAAACATTATCATGCAATTTTACATGATTAGCAGTGCAATTTCATATTCTAACTAAACCCAATCTAAAATGAACTAGGAAGAACGTTTGATAAGAGAACTATAAAAACGAACAGACAAGACTAGCACCAAAGCATGTATCCTCATAACCGAATTTCAAAAATTCAAAAAGTACTAATAAAATTCCTGCTCCATTGGCATGAAAACAGATTGTGAGGATAGCTTCAAGTAGATGTAAGAACAGTCTAACAAAATAAACAGAAATGACATCATAATATGTAGTTCATTAACAATCCCCCCATTAACCACATGATCTATGGTCTAGTTGCTTGGAGGGGACTACTTTGGGGCAGTAGTGGAAGGGGGTCCAATCAAAGGGCAGCAAGGGGGAGACCCCTTCAGGGCACTGGGCAGCGGGCAGGGAGACCCCTTCGGGGCTCCAAGCAGGGCAGCAGGCAGGGGAGACCCCTTTGGGGCTCCGAGGAGACCCCTTCGGGGCTCCAAGCAGGGCAGCAGGCAGGGGAGACCCCTTTGGGGCTCCGAGCGGGCAGCAGGGGGGAGACCCATTTCGGGGTTCTGACCGGGGTAACAGGGGTAGGAATTGCAGGGGAGCAGCTCCCCTGCGGAGACTTGGGAAGCACCAGTGCTGTCTCCTTTTTTGCCGATTGCTTCCTGTCATGCATAGCCACCTAGGCTACCGCCACCCACCAAGGGTGCCTGTAGTCCTAACTAGGCCCTAGTGGTGGGATTTTTTAGCTGCGGTTGCGGCAGCTTGGAGGAGCTCCCTATTCTTCTCCAAAACCTTTACTTGCTTCTTATTCAACTCCTCCATCCTCTCATTGTAGCAAAAAAGCCTCCTGGAATTTGGGATTCAGGACCTACAACGATTTTAAAAGATAAAATAAAAATTATACTTCAAAATAAAAGAGAGAAAATCAGAAACACACAAAAAACCTGAGAAGCAATAGCTATCAAATACATTGATATATTTTTTCAGGTCAAATTCAGGAACAAAGTCTTTCTCCTGAAAAACAGCAACACAGAACAAAATCTCAAAACAATAATACAAAAATCCAACAAAATGGACTATAATCAAAGATCAAAGATCCGAAAAAATAGAACAACATCAAAGATCCAACAGAAAATGGAACAGAAGAAAATGGAACAGAAATCCAACAAAATGGAACAGAAATCCAAGAAATCCGAAAAATTCAAGAAATCCATCAAAAATCAAAGATCCAAAAAAATAGAACATAAATCCAACAAAATGGAAAAAAATCAAAGATCCGAAAAAAAACAGAAATCCAACAAAAACTATTCAAAAACCCTAATGGCCTGTTTGGGAATATAGATTTGGATTTGAAATCCAGATTTGATACAAATAACTTGTTTGGCAACCTAAAGAATTTGGATTTGGATTTGATCTAAATAATAAAGGATTTGTATCAAATCAAAATCCAAATTCTTTAGGTTGCTAAACAAGTTATTTGTACCAAATCTGGATTTCAAATCCAAATCTATATTCCCAAACAGGCCATTAGGGTTTTTGAATAGTTTTCGTTGGATTTCTGTTTTTTTTCGGATCTTTGATTTTTTTTCATTTTGTAGGATTTCTGTTCCATTTTTTTGGATCTTTGATTTTTGATGGATTTCTGGATTTCTTGGATTTTTCGGATTTCTGATCCATTTTGTTGGATTTCTGTTCCCATTTTCTTTTGTTCCATTTTCTGTTGGATCTTTGATGTTTTATTTTTTCGGATCTTTGATCTTTGATTATAGTCCATTTTGTTGGATTTCTGAATTATTGTTTTGAGATTTTGTTCTGCGCTGCTGTTTTTCAGGACAAAGACTTTGTTCCTGAATTTGACCTGGAAAAATATATCAAGGTATTTGATAGATATTGCTTCTCAGATTTTTTGTGTGTTTCTGATTTTCTCTCTTTTATTTTGAAGTGTATTTTATATTTTATCTTTTAAAATCGTTGTAGGTCCTGAATCTCAAATTCCAGGAGGCTTCTTTGCTACACATGAAGAGGATGGAGGAGTTGAGTAAAAAGCAAGTAAAGATTTTTGAGAAGAATGGGGAGCTCCTTCAAGCTGCCACAACCACAGCTACAAAATCCCACTGCTGGGGCTAGTTGGGACTGCAGGCACCTTTGGTGGGGTGGCGGTAGCCTGGGTGGCTATGCATGACAATCGGCAAAGAAGGAGACTGCACTAGCGCTTCCCAAGTCTCCGCAGGGGGTTGCCCTCCTGCGGTTGCTGCCCTGTTACCCCGGTCAAGAGCCCTGAAGGGGTCTCCCCCCTGCTGGTTCGGTGAGAGCCCTGAAGGGGTCTCCCCTGCCTGCTGCCCCAGTCGGATCCCCGAAGGGGATTGCCCCGGTCGGAGCCCCGAAGGGGTCTCCCCCCCTTGCTGCCCCCGGTTGGACCCCCTTCAGCTACTCCCCCAAAGTAGTCCCCTCCAAGCAAATAGACCATAGATCATGTGGTTAATAGGGGGGATTGTTAATGGACTATATATTTTGGTGTCATTTTTGTTTATTTTGTTAGACTGTTCTTACATCTCCTTAAAGCTATCCTCACAATCTGTTTTCATGCCAATGGAGCAGGAATTTTATTCGTACTTTTTGAATGCTTGAAATTCGGTTGTGTATTATGAGGATACATGCTTTGGTGCTAGTCTTTTCTGTTCGTTTTTATAGTTCTCTTATCAAACGTTCTTCCTAGTTCATTTTAGATTGGGTTTAGTTAGATTATGAAATTGCACTGCTAATTATGTAAAATTGCATGATAAAGTTTTTGATAGCCTTAAAATTTGACATTCTCACGTTTGGTTCATTTTCATATAAGTTAAATGTAATAAAAAAAATTGGCAACCATTCTGCTTCAACAAACAGATGAAAAAAATACAAAATTTTTTCTTTAAACATCAATTTCAAACATTGTATTTTAACATACAACAAAAAAATACAGAAAAAAATTTCAAACTTTTTAATTCAACAAACATAAAAAAATATAGAAAAAAATTTCGAAAAAAATTTCTTTTGCATCAATTTCAAAGATTTGATTTTAACAAATAGCAAATAAAAATAGCAAAAAATAAATGCCAAAAAGAAAACTGGAAAAAAGAAAAAAACCAGAAAAACACATACTTTCTTTAATTGGTTGATTTTACCAGTTCAATGTATCAAGTGGTTGTGCACTCAGGATTTTCCTTTTTATAGATTACAACTCCTTTACCTTGTAAGATGGGATTTTTTCATTTATGCTAGTATTTTGATTCGTACATATACTTCATATATATTGCTATCATATAGTGAGATAGATGGTTTAGTACTTTAGTCCTACATGTTGATTTGAAATCAGGCATTTGGATTTTAGATTTTATTTCATTAATCATCATATGTTTGTGTAGGGCTTCGATCATGAACTTCTCACAGCTTTTTGTTTTTAGTCCAGCCACATAATTCCATATTTGCACCTTTTCATTTCCTAAAACATTCTTTGTAAGCTTAGGATATTAATTTTATTACTGATGCTGACAGATGTTTTTAGGCCAACTACATAGTCACCCCCCCAACATAATTTTGGGCTGCTAGTTTTAAGTTTGAGAGTAAATTCAGATTTAGGCTACCTATGCCTTTACTATTGAATGCCTCTTTTGTTTAACTAACCTTTTCCAAAAAACTGCTCTCGGGTACCCCCTATTTTGATAAAATAACTGCCGGGTACCCTCTATTTTTAAAACTAACTACGGGGTACCCCAAATATATAGAAACTTACTGATGAGGCCCTCCGTCTATTCTTCCGTCAGAAGACATCATTCTTTCTCGTTCCCTCTCCAACATTAACGCTTTGTTTCCCTTTCTTGGCACCTGATAACAGTTCCGGACAACATTTTGGGTGAAGTTTTTTTGCCGCTGGCTGGTTCGTCTTTGTTCTTCATGGTAAGTGTATTATATTTTTACAAGAACTGGACGAATTTGGGAATTGGATTTAGGGTTTGTGTTGTACGTCATTTCATTCGATTTTACATAGATTGAATGTCGGAATTTTGTTAGATTCACTTGGATTCATCAATTCTTTATGAAACAGAGTAATGGTAGTAACTGGACATGATATTGTATTTATTGGCTTTGAAATTCTAAAAATTTTGAAATTTTTTTTATGTTTCAGGCTCCAACGGGTTTTTTTGTATATGTGAAAGACAAATGCATTGTTATAGACAATATTGACTTGGACATGTATTTTACAAAGGATTTGTATTCGGATGTCATTGCAAAAGCTAAAGAACAGTATGTGAGTCTTCCCAGGTTCATTGGTTTTTAGTTTCATACACCCTTTAAAGAAATTCAGAGAGAGTCATTAATTTCTTATTCGGATTGGGTTAAGATGATTGATCATTGGATTGATACCCCTTCTACTTACATCCCCTTATACATAGTTGAATTACAAGACCCTAATATATTACAAACTATGGCTGAGTGTATTGATTTCAATGCCCAAACTGGTAATGGGGCTGGCATGAGTGAAGTTGATGAATGGGCTGACAATTTGCTTGTAACTCCAATTGAAAATAGTAATA